AAAAAAAAAATCAGTTTCCATCATCTAAAATAAAATTGTCCAGAAATAAATCAATTTCTCAAAACGAATAAAAGATGTGAAATTAAAAGTATGGAGACATCCCAAATTTCAATTAGGACACTGACTAGCATGCTAGACACACTTGAAATAACATAATGGACCCATGACACAAGCATTGAGATTTCCAAGCAATTATGAACAGTAACCTTTTTTACTAAGAAACTACACTCGTTAAGAAGAATGAAAGATTACAAAAGGGTCGTACAAAAACATAGGCCCAAACACACACCAGAGCTCCAACTTTATATATATATATATATATATATACACATATATATAACAGAGCTCCATCGATAGAGAAAAAAAAACAAAGGAATATCACAAAATAGTTGACCCGACAACCCAGATGGAGGCGTTAAAGGAACTGAAAAGTACAGCCATTTGTTGGTTCAATGCGAAAATTGTCATGGATTAAATTATAAGAAAGTTTTGAAATCAAAAATGAAAATTTGTGAACAATATGTATACCATTTGAAAATAAGTGGTAATTCAAACCGGCACAGATAAATTAAAAGATATGCCAAAGTCCAAAAAACTTCTTCTTTAAGATCCCTTGACACCCTTAAAAATTATACTATTCCTTACAAACCCCAAATATTCAATAGGATCACTAAGAACCCCACTTGCAAAAGACTCCTTTGTTTTGAATCCTCTCCTTAATAGGGAGACAAGATTTGCTTGAAACTGAGGCCACCCTAGAAATCGATAAAAAGCTCCACCAAGTCTTCCTATCAAATAAACACCTCCAAAAAAATATGATCAAGATCCTCTAGAGCTCGCTTACAACGAATGGCATTGCTGAGACCCAATTATAAAAGGATGAAACTTCTAGATGAAATGCATGGTATTGATTCATAGAAAATTAATCGACTAATAAGAGTAAAATATCCATTGCATTTTCTATTGCAATAAGAGAATACCAACTTTGAATATCCTCTGACAGGACAATATGATATCTTGAGGTTATAGAAAATACATCTACAAATATTTAAGACTACGACCCGTGATCCAGAAGAAAACCAGAACATAAAAGAAAAGGTGCATTCAATATTTTGTTGGGTAAGAGATACAGCCACATCTAGATATCAAAACTTCGGTGGTGCTCTAAGGAAAGGACATAACATTATATGATGAGCTTGAACTTGAACTTTTGGTAATGAAAAAGTTTCAAAAAACTTAATACTTTCAAGTTTATTCTTCAGAAGTCAAGTTATAATCAGCACAGCAGTATAAGCCGGCGGACTAGTAAAATTGGGGCGCTTCATCAGCAACCCCCAAAGTTATATATTCTGATCCTGAAGCTAACAAGGCTGACAAACACATAGGAACGACAAGAGAGGAGAGAGATGCATACTTTGTCCTGACCGCCAACATCCCATACGGTGAAGCTGATGTTCTTATACTCCACAGTCTCCACGTTAAATCCTGAAAAAAAGTAGCAACTCTAAGATCTATCTTATATTGTTTAGTAGAGTACTTCAACGTAATGCAAGTAATACATCAAGAGGCAAACAATTAATATCATAACACTAAAAATTGTCCCATCCCGCACCTTAAACAACAACCAATACTTCAAAATTAAAAACCTGATAAGTACCAAACTGAAAAGAAAACATATGCCTTACGTACTGGAGAAAATATAAAAATCAATCCAATGAGCGAAGGTTCCCACGTGAACCATCTTCACAAGCAGAGTAACAATAATTCGAACTAAGCAATCAGAATTTTATATTTCAAAATCAAAGCACTCACCAATTGTAGGAATAGTTGTGACGATTTCTCCGAGCTTGAGCTTGTACAAGATCGTGGTCTTTCCGGCAGCATCAAGACCAACCATCAAAATGCGCATCTCTTTCTTGGCGAAAAGCCTGCTGAAGAGTTTGGTGAAAGTCAACCCCATTTCCGCTTTGCCTTAGCCGGCTATCTCTATTAGTCTGAGCAGATACAAGATCACCACAAAAGTGATTGAATCAAGCAGTTCAACATTAACCAAAACGCCACGAATCATATTAAAACATTATATATATTTTCCAGGAAGGCAAAGTTGAGATCCCCATCCTCATCTCATCATCCGCAACAAATCAAACAAAAATCGAAACTAAGCTAAGATCGTGTCACAAACTACCAACATAAGAAAATCCGAGCCACAAATCCCGTACGATTTCCCTTCCCAGGCAAGGATATAAATTCAATTTCCAAATATGACGAAGAAAAGGAGCGATTAATCCCGTCAAAACCTCAAATCGCAAGAACATCAAATATTCTAACAGATTTCACGAGCGATTAGAAAACTGAAGGCATCAATCGAAAGAAAATATGCAGAAATCAATAGAGAGCGGGAAGAATACCGGAGTTGGAGAATGGCGCAGAAAGGTCGCGCTGTGGAAAGCTCTGAATCGGGGGAGGGGCCGGGAGGGGCAAACAAAGTTTACCGCGGTCTGTTTTAAGCCACGATTTTTCTTTTCCCCTTTTATTCAGGTGTTCTGTTAATCAACTTTCGGTATAATATTATATCCGGAGGGTAAAATTGGAAAAATTATTTTTTTGCATTATTTTTCTTTAAACCAAGGGCCCGGGGTTTTTTGAAAAAATAAAGACATTTTGGAACTTAATTGAGAAAAACGGGTGGGGTTGAAATATTTAGGTTTTTAGGGTGTTGCGTCTGTTGAAAAGATGCATTTGGTTAGTTTTATACGAATGCGTCTTTTGAAGAGACGCATTCAGTACTCCGTCGGACGGCGTAACGGAACGACATAACGAGACCTTGACGGCGTAAGGAGACCTGACGGACCGACTAGATGCGTCTCTTAGAGAGACGCATCCGGTTTTTTTTTATTATTATTATTTTGTTATTACTTCCCTTCACATCTCATCCTAATTTTTATTAAACACCATAATTATGATATTCGTATTAAACAACTTCACTCGTATCTCATCTTTGACGGATACATACGTCGCCGGTTTTCGTTGAATGGACATCACTACGTTTTTTTCTTTTGAATTAATTGTTTTATATATTTATATTATTTTGTGAGTATTTTAGCTTAAGAGTTTATTACTTTATATTAATAAACTCATCTTTTTGTTCAACTATATTTAAATATATTTATAAATATAGTTGAACAAATTTTTAACTGGAAATTCAATTTATAAATATGAAGTCAGCAAGATGATATTATTTATTGTTTTATCATTTTAAGACGTGGTACAGTCTTGTCTACAAAAATGTTGCTAATCCGAATATAGCTAATCGGTTAAGACATATATTATTGACTAAAATGTCAAAGGTTTGGATAACTATCATATATATTATTTAAGTTGTTGAATGAGAAATTTCGGCCAATTACGACTAAATGTCACGTCACAATTTAAGATTATATTTATGACCAATCATAAAATTACATATGTCCTAAATTAATTTTAAAATTAATAAATCAAATTATATCACGTGTCTCTCTTTTGACCGTCCGATGAATCAACTAATTGGACCAAACCATAAAAAGATTGAGCCCAAGCTCATGGCCCATTAAGTCCAAGACCCATATATATGATCCACCAAAACTCTATAAATAGAGGGAGTCACCTCACATTTGAGACATTGAGCCGAAGTTAGAAGAATTGGAGATTTAGAGCCCTTGGATTATTCAAAATCGTCTACTATCATTCGGAGTAAGGGAAAGCCAAGACTTGAAGAATTAAAAACTTGAAAACTACTTCTCTTCGTCAAGTAACTTACTGAAGAACTCTTTGCCCAACAACAAGACTCGAAGTCAAAAGCTCCATCAAGCTGCAAATTCTTCATCAAGCTTCAAAGCCAAAGAACTTCACAAGTTACAAACTGCACTTTAACAAGCTGCAAAGCCAAAGAACTTCAACAGACTGCAAAGTCGAAGAACTTCACAAGCTATAAAGTTGAAGAACTTTAACAAGCTGCAAATCCGAAGAACTTCACATGCTACAAGCCGAATAACTACAACAAACTGCAAAGCCGAAGAACTTCACTAGCTGCAAAACTGAAGAGTTTCACAAGTTACAAGCCGAAGAACTTCAACAAACTGTAAAGCTGAAGAATTTCTCGAGCGTAAAGCCCGAAGAATTCAAAGATTCTCCAATAAGCTCAAAGCCGATAACTTCACAAAGTCTTCATCAAACTACAAGCCAAATAACTTCATCAAGTTGAAGTCTTCAACAAAACTTAAAATCAAAGACTTCAAAGAATATCCTTTGACAAGCAAGAAGCTGAAGGCATCAACTATTGATTCAAGAACAAACTCACAACTCTTGAATTAAAGTTTGCATCTGAGAGAATTAATCAGAGGATTATGAGATTGTACACTACATACACAAACAAATATATAAGTTCATTAATTCGAGTTTTCTCTTATTTGAATTTCTCATCGAACAGAAATAAAAATAAGATGACTAATTAAAAATGTTTGTACATTATGGGTGAAATTAAACTTTTAAAATGTTGAAAATTTGTGATATTTATTAAAGACAATTTTCTTTTTTCTTTCTTTCTTTCTTTTTTTGAAAAGAAGTTCCTAACTTAACTAGTTAAAATATATACCATTGATTAAAATATCGAATATTTGAATACCAACCAAAATAACTTTAATTAACTTGGCTATAGCTACTGGAAAACAAGCAGAAAAGTAAATTAGATGGGAGATAAACTTTCAATTTGAGTTTTAAAAATAAACTCAATTAAGGCCTATTTCTTTGTACTAAAAAAATGAAAGCTTTTTTTTCATTGAACGCTAATATTTAAGACTCTCCTTAAAAACCACAGAGAAAAAGAAGAATATTCTGAAATATAGTTAATTTATCTTAATTAATTAATTATATAATGCAAACTTAAAACCCAGCAAAATTTAGGCAAAACTTAATTAATTTTGTAATGAATTTAGAGAGAGAGAGATGTTGAATGGGGTTCCAATATTTAATAAAGAACCATTTTAAAGGATCAGTTACCAAAATGAGGGTTTTTTGTTGGAAGTTTTAGCAAAATGCAGATATTATATAATATTTCAAAAACCCTAATTTGTTACTTTTCAGTACTTGAGACCAAATTAGAAATGGAAATGGAAATTGAGGAGCTCTTGGCCATTTACCAGCTTCTCCTTCCTCAACCAATTATATGATTTTCTTGAAATTATATGTTTGATTCTCTGTTATTATGTTTCAATCACATTACATGTGTATATATGGTTCAATAGGAAAATACAAAACCCTAATCTCGAATGATTTTTTTTTCTCAATAATCATTTGAACTGATTTTTTTTTTATTTTCTAAAAAATTGATGTCGTGTGGCTTACGCTAGTAGATCCTATATCACGATTCGTTGCCTGGTTGAGCAACACTAGTTGTACAAGACTCGAATTTGAGACCTTAGATAAGTTGTATCTCAAGGTCTCAAGCACTTGTCCCTGGCTTTTGTTCTTTTGACGAGAGATATATATATATATATATATATATATATATATATATTTAAGTTAAGTAGATTGCAAAGAAAATATAGATCTCACAACTTGAAATTAAGGTATAAATAGAAAAAAAAAAATCTACTAAATAAGACGACAAAAATACCAATAAAAAAGTCAACAACGCAACTAAGGTAGAGAAATAGCAAAAGAAACACCACAAAGTACTTCATAAACGAGATACAATATAACAACTCATTTATGAAAATAAATCCTAATTTTTCTTGAATATCCAGCAGCTCTAAGTTAAATTTCAGTCAAGTAAAACCAAAACAATAATAATTCAAAGAAAAAAAAACTGATTAAAATCAGGGTTGGGATTTCTGCCTCCTTTAATTACTTGGTATTAATTAATACAAAGAATAAATGGAAAATAAAAGGCATTGATTTATACAAGCAATTAATTAATTAAAACAAAAGTTTCTCAGTACAATCCATTGTACCATATACACATCTGCCTCAAGTGTCTCCCCACCGTCTGATCATTATCAAACCTGTGATTAAATAAATTAATTAAAAAAAACAAGTATATAGTTTTTTTTTTAAATTTTTTTATTTTGTTAACATGAAAATTAACGAAGAACATAACAATGTCTTCCACGTCTCCTTCAACATGCATGTCCCAGAAATTTTCCTAAAATACAAGACTTTATAACGACCTAATGATGAATTATTTACATATTATTCTTTAATTTCTCTTTTTTTCCCCTTTTCTTTCTCTTTTTCCTGTTAATCCTTCTTCCTTAAAAATACCCAAGAGAGGGGAGCTCAACAGTCATAATCAACAAGCAATATCAACCGTTGGATCAAAGATTAACCAACGGCTTTAGATCTGATGGGGTCCACTACCTTTGCCTTTCCTCACTAATAAAACCCTGTAACAATATTACAAGACAGACATTTTTATTAAAAACAAGAAAAAAACAGCCTATGTTTTTTTTTTCCTTTCTTTTTTTTCTCTTGAGCTAGCTTTGGTTTGAAGCTCTCTGATTTTTCTTCCTCCTCTTCTCCCATGGAGTTTGATTCCAACTTCAAAGATGATCTCCCCCTCCTTTCAAGCTTCTTCTCTGATAAGACGGACTCGAAGCTGAAGCTCGACATCGATGTTGACAGCGGTGGCGGTGATGATGGGGGCGAGTTTTTGGGCATGGAGTTACCCTCATCATCCTCCTCCAAGGGTTTGTTCCACAGTTTGCAGGTTCACCATTATGATCATCATCATCAGAACCATCAATATCTTCATCACTTCCCCATCAATGGATCTGATTCAATCAATCCCCAGCATCATAATTTTTCAATTGATGGGTCCTTACAGAGCCTTATTTCTGGGATGAATATGCCTGCATCATCTCAAAGCTGTAATTTTGATCCAAATTTTCAACCCAATTTTTTGGGAAATGAATTCTCCAAAGATCACACCTTTGAAAATGGGGCCAAGTTCATGCATGGCCTTCTGGGTTCTGGGGCTGTTTGGACAAATTTTCCCGGAAACTTTTTGCCTCAAATTTCTCAGCTGCCAAACAGTAATAATAATAATAGTATTATTCATCAAGCAGCCTTGGGATCAGCCTCTATGTTTCTTGATCATGAGGCCTCTTGTATTACAGCAGACAGTTCTGGGTTTAATGATCAGAACAAGAAGAAAAAAAGAGTTCTTCAGATAAGAAAGGAAAACAAGCCCCCAAAGAAGCTTCCAAACATAATTAAAGGACAGTGGACTCCTCAAGAAGACAGGTACAATTACAATTAACCTTAATTTTATCTAGTTTCATAGTTTCTTTGTTCTTGAATTAGGTTTTTTTTTTTTTTTTTTGATGATTTCTTTGTGTTTTTTCAGATTGTTGGTTCAGTTGGTCGATCAATATGGCATCAAAAAATGGTCACAAATTGCAAAAATGCTGGAAGGAAGAGTTGGGAAGCAGTGTAGAGAGAGATGGCACAACCATCTGAGGCCAGACATTAGGGTTTTTTTTTCTCTCTCTTCCTTCTTTTTTTTTCTCTCTCCATCATACATAATTATTATCCATATATCATATACCATACATACATGCGTACATATAGATATTGGAAGATGCTGGTGACAGTACGGTGGTCGTTTTTTGATATATGCATAGTTATGTCATATCATACATAACATGTGTTATTTATACCGGCATACCATACATTTTGCATATATGCCAACATGCAATTTATAGCATATCATTTAATTATCAGAATGAATGATTCGCTATTTCGACGCGTGTCGCACGATGTTTCGAGATATGACGTGACGTTTTGGTCTTTGTTACAATCTTTTTTTCTAACATATTTTTATGGAGTTTTAAACACTTGCCATGTCTACCATTTGTCTATTTCTAGTTGACAACTCATGGACAAAGTGAAAGATATAATTAGAGCTTTTCTTAGGTTATTAATCATAAAATTTCATTCTCATTGATTTTCTTCATTTTTTTTCCAATGAAAGAAAATATTTTTGTGATTGAGTCATTGTTTTTTCCCATTTTGTACATGGATCACTGTGTGAGTTTTATTTGGTTTATTTAGTTTTGATGAAAATTAGCCAATTAGTTATGTTTTGATGTCAAAGCCCAAGTGTTATATGTAATTAATTTCCCTCACAAATGTTTACCTTATTTTAGCTATTTTTGTGTAACAGTCATTTGAGACATCTTTCATTAGTTAATTGCTGCAAATGGAGGATCAAATGGTTATTAATGAGGAAAAGTTGGTGTACTAATTAAAAAAAACAAAAGAGGAAAAGTTGGCTTTTGGCATTCATAATTTTGTTGTAGTTTTGAAAAATATGTTCGTTCTCACACTTTACTGAAAAAAAAAGGTTTATTCTCGCGTAACCTTCTTCTTTTTTTTTTTTTTTGTTAAAATGCTGTCAAAATTTTAGTCAAATTTAAAAATCTAAAAAAATATATAGTTTTTTAGTTTTAATTTTTTTTCCCTTCTGAAATTTACAAGTACAAGAATGAAAAATGTTTTAAAGAAGCTGAAAAACAACTTAATTTTTGAAAGGGGAAAAAACCAAAAAGTTTAAGACCTAAACCTAGTCTCATTACTCATTACCATCCTATTATTTTGTATATTTTTCAATTTATAGTTTCTAAATATTAAGGTCTGCTCGATAACGATTTCATTTTTTGTTTCTATTTCTAAAAATTAAGTTAAAAAAATTATTTTCAATTAGGTATTCTTTTATTTTGTTGTAGGGTTTGTAAAAAGTATTTTCAAAACTTGTTTTGTTATAGGCTTTCTTGAAAGGTGAAAAACTAACTTATAAAATTATAGCATCTTAGCATTTTTTCCCTGAGTTCAACTATGTGGGATCGATGTAGAGGTTCGAACATCTTATCTAAACTAGTTGAGCTATGCTAAAATCAGCTAATTTTATCTATTTAGATCATAAACTTTACCATCTCTAAGCTTATCCACGCTTCAATAGCCCTCATCGACATGACATATAGTTATTAGATTAATTTGGGTTTTTTAAACATTTGGGTCACAATTAGTATACTATGTGACATACAAACAATATATATACACACCATGTTAGGGAGCAATTTTAATTAATAATGTTAATTCATGGCAAATATGGCATCAAATGTATAATGTGATGGTAATTGAAACTTTGGTTTAACAATATTTGTGCACTAGATTATTGGGATATTATGGTAATTAATTGTGATGGTGGGTGCAGAAAGACGCATGGAGTGAAGAAGAAGACAGAATACTAATAGAAGCCCACAAAGATATCGGAAACAAATGGGCCGAGATTGCCCGCCGGCTGCCCGGACGGACCGAAAACACCATAAAAAACCACTGGAACGCCACCAAACGCCGCCAGAACTCCAAAAAACTCAAAGGCAAATTAGATAATTCCGACGATTCCGCCGCTTCCACCGCCTCCATCCTCCAAAACTACATCAAGACCGTCACCGCCGCCGCCGTCGGAGACCGCCAACAAATTTCCGACTCTCTCCCCCAGCTGGTCGACAGCACCCCCGCCGCCGCCGATGGGTTCTGCTTCGGTTTCGGGTTCGGGTCCGGGTCCGGATCCGGGTCGGAGAGCAACATGGATTTGGAGATGGAGAGCTTGAATCTGATGCAGAGCGATCAGATGAAATCGGAGATGGATCTGCTGGACCTAATCTGCCAGGGAAATCTTTGATTAAATAAATATACATTTTAATTTTATATATCAAAGAATAATTAGGCCTAAAACAAATGGGATTAGGAAACTTTATTTTTAGGATTTAATTTTCGATGAAAGTTTCGAGCTTAATTTCTAAAAATGGTTTCGCATTCGCAGGATGATTATCATAATATATGATGTTTAATTAATTTTGTTGTGGATTTTTCCTTTTTCTTTTTTTTTTTTTTGTTGCTGCTTTGCTTCTGAAGAAGATGAAATTGGAGAAGGATGAAAACTAAACAGCAGGAGATCAAAACCAGCCCAGCCTATATTTGGTATGTAAAATTTGTTTTTTTTTTCAACTAATTTGATCTTTCAAATTATTCATCCATTGACTAATTTCGTGTTATTGCAAATCTACCACTATATCTCTTTTCTTTTATTTTTCTTATAGTACGATTTTAAACAAAAGAGCTTTTTTAGTTTTGAAATAGTTGATTTAAATGTAGTTGAGATAAATATAATATACTTATACGTATGTTGAGATAAATTTATAAGTTTGGTTTTAGGATGATAATCTACTTTAAGAATTAATTTTTATGTATTTTTTTATACTAAATATTATAGAATCAGACGTCTATTAGTGAAATTAGTCACGCATGCGGTTCGAATACTTGTTCTAAGAAAAAAGAGTTTGGTCTTTAAATTTTTTAATGAACATTTTTCTTATATTTTTACACGGGCTCAAAAGTGGTTTTTTTTCTTTTGTCATAAATTGTATTTAATAATTAATTTTAACTTGTTTCTAACCATTTTATGTGTGTATATATATATATATTTTTTTTTTGCCTTAAATAATTTTAGACTTAGTTTGAGATCGTTGTTCCCGTCAAAATAGTTGTGGTAAATAGATTACAGTGTTTGATAAATTTTATTCTGATTTTCGGGATGTTGTTTTTTTAGAATTCAGAATCGAATCATAAACTTTTTTTATAATAAAAAATATTTTATCCACTTACAACATTGTATTTGCAATTTTTTTTTTGAGTATTTCTCTAATTTCGAGGTTTCTCGAGATGAATTTCCCATTTAGCTAAAATAAATTGCTATTAACCGATTGCCATTTTTGCTAACTGATTGATGTTTTCAATGTTCAAATAAAAAATGCAAAATTAAAGTCACAAAATTTATAGAAAGTTGGTAAGAATATTAAAGCCGAGATTCAACATCTTTTTCTTCCAAAATTGGTAAAAATATTTTGACCACCAAACAATCTTTAAATTACTTTACTCTTTCTTATTTTTTTTCCTGAGTTAAACAATGGCAGGTTGGAAGATCGAACCATCAACCTTTGAGATGATGATAATTGTCTTTATCTAATTCTTTATTACTAGTTTGAACCATAAAAAGCCAATAAAAAAACTAAAAAATAAAAGATCCCTAGTTTATTGGCACAAAACAAAACCCTTAAACTAGAAATAACACTAATTTTTATGTATGTTGTATTCTTTTTGTTAGTTCTCTTTCATCATACAACAATTTATACTGCCTTCAACTTGGGCTTAATACGCTTTGCTCTTGAATATAAGAAAACTCCCACAAGCGCTATGGCAGTTCCTGCAACCAAATATCGCCACAAGCATAAGCTAATTTCGAAACACTAACACGTTTGAATCAGTTTATACTTCAAAAATTGAATAATTAATGACTATAAGCTAAATTATACTAAACGTTCTTGATCTATAAACATGTTTTAAAAGTTTCAATTCAACTTAATGTTTCAAGGACAAAGAATTCACCCGATAGAATTTTTTTGTGTTTCTTTTTTCTAAAACTTCTGTAAAAAATTGGAGAAATTATTTTTTGTTTTAAAAGACCAAAAACAAAATGTGAACATTGGATTTCCAAGCCTAAGTTAAATTAATCTTAGCAATCAAGTTTTCTACAGTATCACATAAAAATTGATAAAATATATAATAAACTATCAATAATATAGATATAATATTAATATTAATAATTTTTAACCTTATGTGTTGATTTATAATTTTGTTATGAACTTGTTAATTTTCATAATTTTTCTAGAAATATCTATCAACATTGATATTTTATGAATATTTCTATAGAATTGAGACTTCAGCATTTTCATCCAGATCACATTTAAAACTTTATTCTCCGCTGGTAAAAAGTAAAAAGGAATGAGAAATATACCTAGGGCGTTTAGAGGTGAGACAGCTGTTTGGAAGAAAATAACTGAGGAGACTATAACCACCACACGCTTCAGAGAATTTCCTACTGCATGGGTGACTGGTGAAATTACTTGTAGTATTGAATAAGAAACCTGCCCAAAAATAACCATGAATGTTTGAATTTGAAGCCATTTCTAACTCCCAAGGGTAAATTTTGCAAGATATGGTAACTGTAAAGAGGGAAATGGAAAGCAGAGCATGCACCAATCACTGACAATTACCATTACTATGATTAATTTAATCAATATCTAAGTAAGTCACCAATTTGATACTGGTATCTCAAGAGAATGCTATATTTGAAATGACTTTTCATTTTCCATGTAAAAATTTATTTACTGACCTGCTGATAACTATGGAAACAGATACCAGATAGAAGCAACCTAGTGAATAGCTCTCTTACATTCAACCCTTGATTTGCCTGAAATGAACAAGATTAATTAGAGACAGCTCCCCATCAGTACCAATCTTGTAAATCAAAAGCTTTTACTCTTAATTTAGTTTTTAATGTAGATTTCACTTACAGCTAATTGCAGGTATGAAGGAGATAACTTAGTGCCTTCAAGGACAAGGGCCGTGGGAACCAGAAGGATGAACGAAATGATAGTAATCACAGAGAAGAGGTTGATATTGTCCAATGCCTGGACCACAGAAACAGTTGAACTTTTTCTTATAACGATTTCGTTTTTAGTTGTATGTAGAAGAACGGTATAGAAAAGTGGTACCTCTTTGTGAACCATGAACTTTTTGCTGAAGATATTACGTGATTGATTTGTAAGATTTGAAGCCATGGCACTGCTGAAACCAATCCTGTAACCAAAATTTGATGATATTGTAGCCCAAAATGAGAGGCTTTTCGAATCGGTATTCTTGATCTTTTGGATTGATTGCAGTCAAATCAAATCAAGTGAAGTCAGGTGTGTGATCTTACCAATTAAATGAGGCTTCAGTGAAAGATGCGAGTGCCACTCCTCCTACAACCGGTACGAGAGAAAGAACAACCCAGAAAGAGGGCCTCTGCGTATGGATACAGCAGAGAAATCAAACAACTTAGGGACAGATTCTACACTAATGTATTTGATTAGTTTAATCACCAATCTCAACCTGTTTTTTCATAGTTCATTTTCCAGAATAATAGAAGCTATTTCAGAATCAGATAGTTCATCAATCGAAACAGAGGAAGGATTTATGAAACCAATAAAACTTTTACAAGTTTAAGCTATTGGACAATGATAGAGTAAAGAAAAGTAAAAATTGAAGTTTGAAGTAGAGATACCTCAGCCAAAAAGAGAAAAGAGAGAAGGACAGTGAAGAATGGCTCCATTGCTTTGATGGTGTGAGTGAACGAAACCGCAACTCTTCCAAGACTCACATTGGTCAGTATGTTTCCCATCGTGTGCGCTATGGCCAGCGGAAGAATGGCCGAAAGCTTAATACATACAAAGTTTGATCCTTATATACAAATTTATGGTTATATTTCAAGAAATTAAATGAGTGAAATATTATGTTAAAATACTCGAACTAAATGAGGTACAAATAAGAATGAATGTAACAGAGTGATAAAAAAATACAAGACCAAAACGAATATTTTAAAATTACATGGAACAAAAATTATAGGATCAAAATCAACGTTCGAGAGCGAACAAAGAGTATTTGGACCTTCAAAAGGGATTATGTTAGAAAAAATATATAATCAGCAAGCTTATTAGAAAGGGTATTAAAGGTAATACCTGGGAGCGCTTGATCTTGGGCCTGGGATGAAAATTAAGGGCCCACATTAAGCTTACTATTACTGTCCCACAGCCTAACTGAAAAGCTGTGACCGTAGTTGGAAAGGGAAACGCTTTCAGAACCTGCAAATTATAATTGAATGCAAAATCAATGCAAAGAAATTCTTCTGTTTTTAATTTCATATTTTAATAATACTAATCTTAGCTAAATCCATGATAAATGGAATAAATCACCAAAAATTACATTATTGCACCAACAAACTTCTAATAATTGTACTGACAGTGAGTTCGAAACCCACACCACCACTTGTTGTAGAAAATAAAAGGAGCAAGGGGCAAACTTCTAATGATTAAAAGGAATTGGATTCTACTGTTAATTTTTTAGTAAAAGTTCATTGGTTATAATCAAAATATTCAGTCTTACAAGTAGCAATTGTTTTCAGCTTGTCGCCATTGTTTTCTCAAATAGATAAAGTGTACAAAGTTACGTCAAAGAGAATCAGAGATCCAAGATGCAACAAAGCAATGAAAAAAACTGACCCGATTAGACAAGGCAAACTTGCCCAATTGACTCAATTTTTAACTTGGCCAACGGTGGAGTCCAAAATTTTTCCAGACTTCAGTTTTTACAATAGAAAAAAAGTGAGTGCCATGTCAATTTCTTTACTTCATGTGTAGTTTGTACGATATGGTCATAAATAGTTTATTTATCTCTTTTCCTCGTTTCCCCCGAAATTGTTTTACGTCG